CCTGAGCTCGCACGACTCTTGCACACCGGTTGGATTACCAACCAGGGTGTTCCGGAAGATATAGTGAGCGACCGAGATACTCGCTTCATGTCGGCCTTTTGGACTTCTCTCATGACTGAGTCCGGCACGACAACGAAGCCAAGCTCGGCGTGCACCCGCAGACGGATGGTCAGACGGAGCGAGCGCACCAGACCGCTCAGATGATGTTGCGTACGCTCATCCGTCCCGACTAGAAAGATTGGGTTGACCGGCTTCCCGACATTGAGTTCGCCTACAACACTTCGGTGCACCCGGCGATCTGCGTCACACCATTCGAGCTACATCATGGTGGAGAGAAAGCACGGATCTTCGCTGATCTCCTTTTGCCAAAGGCTGTCGACATAGACGTCCCTTGCTCTCCCGCTTCCATCCGGAAGTACCGGGACTTGCTGATCAAAGCCCGCGCAAATATGCAAAAGGCTCAAGTCCGCATGCAGCAGCAAGCTAACCGACGTCGACTTCCATGTCCTTTCCGCAAGGGAGACCTTGTTTGGGTCCTCTCCGAGGAATTTGCGCTCGAGCAGGATGTTTCGCGCAAACTCCTTCCGAAATGGTTCGGACCATGGGAAGTCACTTCTGCTGTTGGAGACGACCCCGCAGGTCCTTCCTTCGTGATCAACATTCCACCGCACCTAACAGTGCATCGGGTCTTCCATGCATCAAAGCTGGCCATCTATACGCCACCTTCAGCTGACGAGTTCCCCAGACGTCGATCACAGGATCCGCCTTCTATGGACGGACATCAGGAAGTTGACCGAGTCATCACGCACCGCAAGTATGGCAACAAGCCAAGGCAGTACAADGTCACATTCAAGCAATGTGCGCCTGATGACACTCGGTGGATCTCCAGTACAGATTTGCAGACTTCTGCACCTCTCATATTCGCCGACTACAAGAAGCGACGCCTTGCTAAGGACGCAGCTCGTCCCGCCCGACCCACCACGGTATCGGATAGACAACTTCGCCCTGCAGGTAGCTCGGTCTTTTAAGAGGGGGAGTGTGTTACATCTTCGACGCACATGGGCCCTACCGGACCTGACTTAGGGTCGGAGGGACACATCAGGGCCTAAAGGCCCGACCTTGGGATAGTACAGGCCCTCAGGGCCTGATCTTGGACCAGTACCCAACGGGCAGGCCCAAACGGCATTATCGTTTGGGCCTGGCGGCGCTCTTGAGGCTGCCGCCCGCCGGTTGGGGCTGAACTGTCCATCTGGACGGTTCAGGGCATGGCCAGGCCTCGCAGCATTGAGGCCAGCCTCTGCCCCACCGGTATAAAGTACCGGTACAGCCTCACTTGGAGGCATCGACCTACCGGCACTATACCGGTACGGTATGGTCAGCGCCAGAGCGCTGTTTTGATGCGCTAAGTTTAGCGCAGGAGCGAGCAAGGAGCAGCAGCGGCAGCGCAGCATTAGCGCAGCAGCAAGCGGAGCAGCAGCAGGGGGACTGAGCCAGAACGGCGGCCATTGCCCCCTGAGGTACCTGGGAGCCGGAGGACCTCTCCTCCCTCCCTCGTCAGCTCTCTCTCTCTCTCTCCTCCTCCTCCTCCTCCTCCTTCTTCTTCTTCTTCTTCTTCTTCTTCTTCTTCTTCTTCTTCTTCTTCTTCTTCTGATTCATCTTCTTCTTCTTCTTCTTCTTCTTCTTCTTCTTCTTCTTCTTCTTCTTCTTCAGACTAGAGACTTATGCTAGTTGGACAGAGATCAGAGTTGGACTTCGGTGATAGGAGACTGTGGTWCTTACCAGATTGGAGACTTGGAGATCGTTGGGGTTGATACTTGGCGACATCACAGTTCAGACACCGGTTACATTTGGACTCTGTATCCCCGACATTGGTGACCTATGGTCCTCGACATTTTGATCTTGTTGGACGACATTTTGGACTACCATATCGGTGACCTATCAGATTCTACCTCGGTGACTTTCGGTGCTGTCTACCTCCCCCCACCTCTTCGTCTCTCCTCCCCCATTCATCTGTGTATGTGTGTACGGGGCTGAGCATCTTCTATGTATGGCTCAGACCCCACCATCTCACAATTGAATGTGTGTGGAGTGATGCTATGTGAGTCAGTCTTTGTGAGTCAGTCTATGTGAGTCAGTCCGTTTATCAGACTTCCGTTGCATCTATACTCATCCTAGATTGGTTGATTCTTGGTTCTGCCCATACTCATTGGAGTATGCAACAGTATGTGTGTACAGAGTATCGCGTGTGGGATATCCAGGGTGATCCTGTGTGTGCGAACAGGGAGTTGTGTGGGCGCTGAGTCGCCATAGCCATTGAAGTGATCTTGTACCTCAACTGTGTTCTTGGCTACCATATCTCTGTGTTTCGAGTGGTTGCTTGTCGCCAGTTTGCTGCGCACCTGTTTGCATGCATGCGAAGTGTGAATGAGAGCGAGTCTGATTGCAGGAGATTCAATTTTCAGAAAATAAATCCAGTTTCCAAGAATGTGGCAACCTCCCTTGTTACCTGTGCTATGAGTAAGATCTAGGCAGGCTTCACGAAAATTCGGCTTTCAAAAAATGACGATCTTGAAAAAAAAAATTGCGAAATAGAATGGAGATTCGATTTTCAGAAAAGGATAAATCCAGTTTCCGGATGTGGCAACCTCCCTCATTACCTAATATGCCTAGAAAAAACGAAAGCTAATATCAGAAATTTCGGATCTTTGAGAAAACGAAGAAAAAAAAATTGCAGAGATTTGACGGAGTCCTACTTGATTCAATCAAAAAATCATCAAATTATCAATCGATCAATAACTCAAGCAAGCTCCTTGATTGGGCAGATCCTCTGATTGAGAGGTCTGCTCCGATACCAAACTGTCGCATACCGTAATGGTACAGACCAGAACAAGAACCGACCTCTCTCACATAGTACAGAATAGCGCAGCGGAAGGCTAAAATACCAATGATCAACCCAATCAATGTCGCAATGCAGACCAAACACACATCATCATCATCGCAAGGTGTGAAGGGACCTGGTGCTCACACAGAAAGAATGCGCCAGTCCCAAACATACACAGACGAGGAGGAGGGGGATCAGACGAAGAAGAGGGGGAATGATACAAGATACATGCTGAAATAACTGTGCACGTCAGCCTTCCATACGAATGACATGTCAGCAACATGCCATGTGTCGTCAATGCTTCCAGGAAGCTGTCATAGAAAGTATGTGTCTTTACTGCGTTGGACTATCCCCGGTGCCATCACCCTCCACATCCTCTCCTAGCATGTCCCACATGCGGTGTTGGTCATACACCTGTGGCAACTGCTGAGGGATCTCCCTCTTTCTTGCCAGACAAACGACGGACGCAGCAGTCCGAGGAGGAAAACAGACTTCTATATGAACCACCAGCAGAGCGATGTGCTCATAGTTTATGCAGCAGCTGAACGCCCTTGCTTTGGACCGATCCTCCCTGTCGTCGTCTGCCCATAGAGAAGGAATAAATACTGAGGAAGCCCAAGAAAGATGCTCCATGCCGCTTTGTGATGACCCGCCGGAGATTCAACTAGCATGTCGTTCGCATGCCTTGTGCCGTGAGGATTATTGAAGGGATAGTCCATGGGAGTTTTTGCTTCCATACGTACAACGACAGTCTCATGTACGGCACCCTGACATGTCATGTCCAATTTGTAGACAGGGGCTGGAACAGCAATGCCTCTATAATTGCGGTCGATGTGCCTCTGTGTTCCCAGCATGTAGGAGCCACGTAGCCTGTGACGTATGTCTGCGCCGTGCCTTTCGATGCAGCAACTGTGACTACGAAAATTGTATGCGGTGCTTCCATAGCCCACACCCGAACCGGTCCTGTCCGGTTTGTAGGGGGTGGCCACTTGCCATAGGCATTAACTGCTCCTCAACCCACAAATTTTTTTTTTTTGCAAGCCTGTGCCATTCTAGAGTAGTCCGTTCCAGCGGTGAGTATTTAAAATTCTGCGAAGCTCGTCATACACCTCTCCCCTACCCTTTGCATGCCATACTCTATCCTGCCCTTCATATTTCTTTCCTGCTGTTTGCCCCCACCTCCCTTGCCCCATACTCCAATAGAACTCCGCCTTCTATCCCTTTCCCTCCACCCTCCCCTCCACTCCCTTTGTGCTATTAACAAATACATACGAATGAGCATCATTAAGAGAACAGATGATATGAAAATCAGAAATGAAATGAACGGAAGTATGAAGATGAAGGACCGACACAAAGACCGTATAAGCTGAGGATCTGAAGTGAAATGAACAGGAGTATGAAGGTATCAAGAGAAATGTATTATGAACCTGGTTGCTTGTTGCCAGATGACCAACACTCACTCACATAGACTTCTAGGTATGCCCATACATACACAAAAGGAAGGAGAGACGATGGGAGTATCACATCGCACAAGGAGAAAGAAACAAGTGGAAGACTTGACCATGCGGTAGTACACTGAAAGTGCAATTCGCTCCACAGAATCCTCACAACCAGTCACAAAGGAAAGCCGAGTAGATCACATCCAGAAAACAATGAAGCAAAGATAGTTCACACACAATATTAACACTGTTTATTAAACTCAGAGTCTCGAATTGCCAAAATAACCCCAGAACTGTGATGTGCTGCTCAGAAATGAGAAGTGCTCCTTCCCCCAACCCTGAACAACCGCTATCACTACCCTTGAGTCCCTGAAACAACCAGCGCCACCCAAATACTGCGTCCAGAGGGAAGCGCCAACCTGAAACAGGCCTTTGAGGCCAAGCGCCTCTCAGAGGGTGAAGAAGAAGACCAGCACCACAGTCTCTGATGATGAAGTGCCAGAAGGCCTCTTTGATGAAGATCTTCAGCAGCGCTACATCTTCTGACGAAGATGATCTCTGAGGATACAAGCTGCAGCTATGGCTGCAGTGCTACTACCATGAAACCCTACTCTTGAGGAGGGTTCAGCATGGCACCAACTTCTCTTGCTCCCAGCAAACTCCAACTAGCCCAAACCTCTGAACAGCCCCACGTGTTGTCAGAGAACAGCGCAGGTCCCAGCGATGGCCGGCGCTTCGAAGGTCCGACTATGTCTATCTCCTCCAACGCTGAAGTTGTACCACCTCAGTTCACGCGTTGCGCAGCCGCGACGTACTTGCTACCAACTGCCAAAAGCCTCGAACAGACTTCCCTAATCCTATTCATAGTCTACCCTAGCCTAGACACGACCTAGACCGGTACCATTTTGGTTTCGGTTTCGGCCTCTAGGGTCTTTCCCTACCCGGCTATAGGCTATAGGACCAGTCTAACAGCATAGGCCCGTAGGTCCTTCGTCCTAGTGGTAGCCCGGGTCTGCTATTCGCAGTTAGGGTAGCTGTAGGAAATTCAAGTTAGTGCGGGCCTGCAATTTTCCCGAATTTACAGATATGTCCCTCACAAATTTTCCCCACGGGCAGATCTCTCGGTTAGCCCTCAGCCAAACAAATTTGTGAATCTAACCTACCTATGTTACAGCCTCAAGTCTACGGGTCGCAGGCTGCAATTTCAGCAAGTCATTGCAGACCTACCCTCCCCCGGAGCGAGGACCTCCGAGCTAGGAGTGCAGGCGTGCAGAGCGTCGAGGGTATTGTCCCCTCTTGGCTGCCTCATACTTGAGGACAGCGGACTTTGTTGTCTTGAGGAGTTCCTTACGTGTGAACCAGCGGTCCTCAGTGTGAGGCTGGTACAGGAACTTCACAAGGTACTGCATATCTTGGCCTGTGCCCATCTCTCATCCTCAATCGACTCCACTTCATACCCCTTGCCAGGGATTGGTGGACCGAATTGAGGAGGTCTGTTCGAAAATGCTTCAGCTGAAGTAAAAGGCAACAACTTAGATGCATGGAAGACCGGATAGGTTTGTAGATGTAGAGGGACGTCAACATTGTATGACGGTCCGAAAGGATCAGCCCCCACTGTATCTAAAACCTGTCATGGACCCATG